TCCGAAGTATCCGCCGGCAGTCAAGGCCATGCCGGCGTGTCGACCATCAGGTCTGTCGTATGAACGTTGATGGAACTCCAGCGGCAAAAGGACCTTAGTATTTCGGCGCATGCATGTTTGCAAGCATCATGTCTTCGCAGTTCCGCAGCCTTACTTGCTTGATTTGCCCTTGCTGTTTGTTCAGTTGCCATGCAGTTGTCAGCCGAGTTTGTGAATAACCTGGTGGCGGTACTCAATGTCCTTGCATCCCAAGTTGCGACAGCTTTGGACACCCTGAACTTTGCCCTGATGACCGAGCGAAGCCATCCGTCTGACACCAGAGTGTCTCCCAGGGCACCAAGGAACTCCAGGCATGGGCTGCGCCCTCGCATCATCACAGAGCGCCTTTCGTCTGACCGATCCCGCTCTCCCACTCGAATTCGAACCCGTCCTTTGGACACGTCATCCACCTGGTATATACCGGCCTTATCTCCGCCCCGTGCGGCACATCGGGATGCCGCTGACAACGATTCTGTTCGTCGGCCTGAATCGATGTTGGATCACCTGCCACCACCTCGGCCGCTTGCTCCCTTAGCCCCACACGGCGGCCGAGAACCAGGACAGATGACGCCTACGACACCTGACTCGGATTCTGATGGCTCAGTGCGTCCACATCCCGGTGCCTCGTCGTTCCGACCGTCTCCTACGGTGGTACATGGACCTCGGGAACTTCTACAAGAATTCACCATTGCACTTCGCAATGCACACCGTGAACCTTTCACGGCATGGACACAGGGTGAGCTGGATGAGATGGTGCGACGGAAGAAAGACAAGGATTCCAGGCCCACCTACAAGACCATTGCTCGGTTCCTTCAGAAGCCCATTGAGGAAGTCAAGCAGGCATGGAAGGTCTATCAGCAACTTGAGGCTCGCGGCTAGGAACCCGGTCATCAAACGCAACAGCGACCACCGGAGGACTAAATGGTAGGCCGTGGCGGCGTATTCGGCTAGCGCTGTTGATCACATGAAATTTGCTTGCTTGCACTTGACTGCCGTTTGCTAGGGAAATATTGCTTGCCGGTTTTGGGTGTTGCCGCTGACGTGATGTGAATTCAGGACTGAGTTGCTCAAATCATGTCGGAACAAGTCGTACAGACGTACATTACCTGGACCCATGGAGCGCAGCCGACGTGGTTACAATTTCACGGACCTGGTGCCCTACTTCACAGACCCATTCGGCATACTACGTCACCTCCGCCCCCACCAAGTTTCCCACTGCTTCTTCCACCCCCTCCTCCTCCACCGCCACCACCACCGGTGATTCTACACCCACAGTTTATGCCCTCAGTACGGAGCCCCTCGATCTCAGCTCCTCGCGGACAATCCTGCCCTGCCACTTCGAAATCGCAGCGCACACGCCGCTCGATCTACAGCACTGACCATTCCCGTGATGAAGAGCTACGCAGTCCAGGGCGCTCATCCAAACGATCTCGGACAGCATCCGCTTCAGCACCGCGGAGATCTCGGCGGCCCTTTACAGTGTTCCCCTCCAAACGTGCTGGCCGTCCATCGCTGTCCCCATCGGCAAATTGCAAGCATTACTGTCATGCCATCCTGCGCCATGGGCGGAAATGTCTTTCCCCTTGTGATCGTAGACGACCAGGACATTACCATTGCAGGTGTGCGCGGCATCAACGGCGGTGAAGCTTAGGAGTCGTATATTACAAACCTCGCTGCTGTGTCTCACCTTGAGTTTGAAAAGTTGCCTTGCTTTCCTTCAGCTGTGTGCGGTTGTCATTGCATGTGTGTCTTTGCCGCAGATTTTCGATTGCTTTTAGCGGCTGCGCGTGAACCTGTCTTGCCGCTATGAACCCTCAATATTTCGAGTACCAGATCGACAGAGGAGTGGAATGGATTCGAATTTACTCACCGGGCATGTGGCGACCCGTTCCCGATGATGCTCCAGCGCTGGACCCACTCTACGCTTCCACGTATCGGGAGTGGCGCAGGTCATATCGCTTCCAAGTGTACTGGTCCGAAGACAGCACCGGAGGCACAACAACGGATCCCATAGTCACGCCAAGTTCCTATGTGTCCTACCACGTGTGGGAGTACCGAGACTGGCAAACACGAGGGTATCAAAGACTTGGAGCTCCTTTACCAGCCATTGGACTCGAGATGCTCGTCAATGCAGACGCCAATTCCTCGGCGGGCTCATCGGTGCCGGATGGGGCGTGGCGGGAGCCGTCGCCACCACCATTCTATGATCCTTGGAACGATTCGGAGTGACACTTGAGTTGCATGTCGGATAAAATGACGCGGTTGTGCTTGCTTTGTATGCGATTCCATGTTGAGTTGTCTTGCTTGGTGTTGTGCGTTCCGTCTCCATGTGTTCGCCGCCTTCCTTTATGACTTCGAGCGGCTTGCCTGGTAGAAATGTTCAATTGTACAGTGTACGGCACAGCACGATGGGTCCTGTCTCGCTACTTTGACTACGACATCGTCAATGGCCCAGCGAACACGAGTGTAGAATGGATTCGGATCTATGTACCGGGTCCGTGGCATCCAGTCGCCGCGAATACCTTAGGACCAGCCCCGGAAGACTCAACCACCTATCGGGAATGGCGCAAGGTCTACCACTTCGAAGTGTACTGGCCGAGGGAAAGCACAGGCGGCACCAATACAGGTGCTGTTTCGCAACCGGTATCTTATGCATCCTTCTATACTTGGCATTATAGAGACTGGGTCACCAGGGGATACCAACGTCTGGGTCGCCCACACCCTAGCATTGCGCGGCCAGCTTTCGCTTCGGGCGCACCGGACCTCATGTATGCTGGATTGACCTCTTCATCGGCATCATCCAACTCAGATGGTGGCTGATGCTCGTCCGTGCCCTCCTGGGGAGTCTGTTCAGTTCAATTCGATTCGGGAGATTGTCTTCGATACCGGAGCCGTGCATTGCTGCAAAAGTGTTTTCTTGCATTGTGGCAGTCGTTTCTCTTTCAGTAATTGGTGTCTGCAGCCGTACACCTATCGATTTGTCTTGCCGGGTTTGCGTTGTCATGCCGTGGCTGGAATGGTGTCCGGATCCTCAACAACCAGATGCCCAGTGGGTCAAGATCTTTCATCCGGGATCATGGACTCCCCACCTCCACCGCACACGTATAGAGAGTGGAGGGAGTTCTATGCTCCCAACCCGGACACAGTCGGTGAGCAGCTCAATGTCACCATGTGGTACAAAAGAGACTGGGCCACAGAGGGCTATCGGAGAGTCGCTGCCCCTCAAGCTGGTCATGACTCTGATTCTATGTGTTTTCCTGATCAGCACACCGTGGCCACGCAATCCGCGGCATTCAGTATGTCACCGCAGCTGTTAGAAGCGATCCTCAGGTCCTCGGATGCGGCGGATTTCTCTACCGAAGAACTGACTCGTCTCCAAGAGGGAATTTCTCAGCAACTGACAGCTCGCGCACGTCACGCTTCCCAACCTCATCAACCAGTACGTGCATCACGTGGAATCACACCATCGGAGACGGTTGGGGTCTCCGAGCCATACCGGCCTGTTAATCCTTCCGACAGCGGCAAGGACAAGGCGAGTCCCATCTTCGAGCTAACTGAGGACTAGACGCACGCGAGTGGGGCAGTGTACAAAATAAGGGTGGTTTTCACACTTTCATTGCCTTGATTGGTTGTTGCTTGTACATGGTTGTGCATGGTGCATGTTCCTCTATCAGCTGGATCGGAACCCGCGATACGCCTTGCCTCTTACTTCGACATGGACATCGATGATTCGAAGCAGCACCCATGGCTCGAATACTCGGTCTGGCAGGATCAGGAGTGGGTGCGGATCTACACTCCAGGACAGCCTCAGCGATGGAACCGCGGAGAAACTGTACCTGATCTACCAGACAATTCTTTTCGGGAATGGCAGCGGGTGACGGATGAGGCATGGAACATCCGCGACTGGCAGCATCAGGGATACCAGCGCATTCTGTCTCGAATTGAGTCCTTCACAACTCATCATTCGCATGATCAGTCTCTTGTCAAGTTCGGAATTCCAATGCCATTTCCAGTTGAGGACGTTCACCTACGCCACCCCGTTTTCTCATGGGGTGATCGGCTGCTTCACAACTCGCTTCAGTCCTCTATGGCGACACTCGTAATGCTCAACGTGGTGATCTCTCGTTCCCGTCTTCTGAGCGGTTTAGGGCTGTTTCTCGTTCCCCTCGCCGCGGTGGATTTTTTGGTCAACGATAGGGACACGAGGTTGAGCGTGTGATCTTCCTGCAGAAAAGGAGAATCCTCGCCCCTCATTGAGGGGCGTGTGTGTGCGGAGTGACAGAATGCCCTGTCACCACCCTTTCGGTTTTTCAGCAGGGGGCACAGGCCCATGGTGGTGACCTGTGCCAACGAAGCTAACCACCATGGGGGAAGCGCGGACTGATCATCCGCGTGTACCTGCTTTGTGAAGTGATGTTTCTGAAGGTCCTTTTGGTCCCCTCCCGGAACCGCCGTTGCTTTGTGTGCCCTGTTCAAGTAGCTACAGGGAAGCCATGTGACCAGCAAGCCGATGGGGTTTGTCCCCAGTTGTACTCGAGACTCATCAGTTGTACTCGAAACTCATCAGTTGTACTCGAAAGATTAGCACTCTCCATCTGGAGTTCAAGTGTGTGTGTGTGTGCGAACGGCTTTTCAGCTAAGAGCAAAGATGGGTTGTTTCTCCACATTAATCGAGTGATGCGGACCGGCACAGCATCTTGAATCCAGTATCCAATCCAACATGCAAGATACCCTGCGAAGCCCTTGCAACCTTTCGAGAGAATATTGGATCCAAGATGTCCAACAGGCATCCGAGAAGAATGCACAAACTTGGGGAACAATCCTTGCCATGTACCTTGTGTCATACGTTATCGCATGTTTGTTTGTTGCATCGTCTTCGTTTGTCAGCCATGTACTGCATCAGCCTTTAGATTCAGGGCAACGTTGGGACGCCATGGCTTGTGGTGACGACCTGGCTGCAGGTCTGCAGGCCAAGCGATGATGCGAACTCGGGAGGACGGACGCGGGAGCGACAATGGAGCCAAACCGCCCGCTGAAGTTGTCAGTTGAGTCGAAAGAAAAAGAAAAAAAACGTTGTATGTGTCAATGTCAGGCATGATCCCAGGTCTTTTGGACCTATCAAATTAGCTGCACCGCCGCTTGTAATTTGAATGGCAGGAGTGTGTTGCAGGAGCGGCCGCGCAAGTCAAACATGGGGCCGCGCAAGTAAAGTGCAAGTGAAGCGCAAGTGAAGCGCAAGTGACGCAGTGATGATTCATCATCATCATCATCATCATCATCATCATCATCATCATCATCATCATCATCATCATCCGCATGGTCGAAAGAATTTGGAAGATTGCTAAATTTTCGCGCAAGTCGCGCGCAAGTCGCACGCAAGTCGTAGATGCCTTGGATCAGGAGTGGCCCATTGCTGTAGTTTGCATTTTCTTTGTTTCTGCAGATCCCAGCAATGAGTTGCAGCAGCAGCCAGCAGCAGCAGCAGCAGCCAGCAGCAGCAGCCGCAGCAGCAGCAGCAGCCAGCAGCAGCCGCAGCAGCCAGCAGCAGCAGCAGCAGCCAGCAGCAGCCAGCAGCCAGCAGCAGCAGCAGCAGCCAGCAGCAGCAGCCGCAGCAGCAGCAGCAGCCGCAGCAGCCAGCAGCAGCAGCAGCAGCCAGCAGCAGCCAGCAGCCAGCAGCAGCAGCAGCCAGCAGCAGCAGCAGCAGAAGCCGCAGCAGCAGCAGCCAGCAGCAGCCAGCAGCCAGCAGCAGCAGCAGCCAGCAGCAGCCAGCAGCAGCAGCCAGCAGCAGCCGCAGCAGCCAGCAGCAGCAGCAGCAGCCAGCAGCAGCCAGCAGCCAGCAGCAGCAGCAGCCAGCAGCAGCAGCAGCCAGCAGCAGCAGCCAGCAGCAGCCGCAGCAGCCAGCAGCCGCAGCAGCCAGCAGCAGCAGCAGCAGCCAGCAGCAGCCAGCAGCCAGCAGCAGCAGCAGCCAGCAGCAGCAGCCAGCAGCAGAAGCCGCAGCAGCAGCAGCCGCAGCAGCAGCCAGCAGCAGCAGCAGCAGCCAGCAGCAGCAGCCAGCAACAATTTGCAGCGGTGTACACACCTGAGACCTCATACACTTAAGGGGCATGTTTTTGGGGGACCTCACTCTTATGAAGACCGCCGCTTGGATTTGCAATGAAAACATTCTGGGATAAGAGTTTTAATACGTTTTTTTTCCCAGCTCAGTTGGTTCAGTTGTTGGCTCCGAGCGAATTGTTTGTCACTGAATGGCAGTTGCACAATGAGCACTTTGGGGTGGAGCCTTGATGCTGCCTTCTAAATGCGGCAAGAATTTGTACTCATTGAATGCAGAAGCGAGTGGAAAATAACGCTGACACGCAAGATTTTGCAATTGACGGAAATCCCTGTGTGGAATAGCCAGACTGCAAAAGAACGATTCTCTTTGTTCGCTTAGGCTCCATCCAACAGACCAAGAATGCGGGTTGAGTGGTGTATCGCTGGGGGGGCTGCCACGAAGTGTGCGCGAGTTTTCGGGCGACCATGGGATTGAATTGGTTATGGGGTTTGCTTCGGGGCAGGCAAAGGGAATTTGGGGGACGTCAGGTTGCTGTTGACTTAGCTTGCGGCAGCTGAAGACCCACCACCAAGCCCTGTCGTAGCCCGCAACGTTGCATCTTGCCGTGCAACCCAGGCAGTATGCAGCTCTAGAATTGCTTGAATTGCCAGATAGGAGCCAGGGGGTCCTAGTTAGTGTGAGCTGAAGGTGCAAGCCAAGATAACGCCTCTTACCAGATGGAAGGCTGCAATGATGGGCGTGTTTTGTTGCGTTCTAATCAGCCTATTTCACAAAATTATTTGTTCGAGAGGGGAGAGGGCAACCTTGTAGTCTTTGACTGATACCAACATGCTGGTTCTGGCGTGCATCATCCTTGCAGGAGGCATTTTCTCATGCAGTGTTTTATTGACACAATCGCAAAGAGAAACTACCTGGGGATGGCATATGTGATGCCAATCTGGATCAGGAAACCGGCACACTTTCTTGAGACATGTTCTGTCATCAGCTTCTTAGTGCCACATGCTCGCGTTTCAAGCAATGAGGACGAGGCAAGCGGCCATTGCGCGCCTGTTCGACCTGATTCTTGTCGCAAGTTTACTTTTGCCGCAAGGCATGAAGTCCCGCAACCATCTGCAGGGGGGCTTAAAAGCAAGCTGCGCGACAATTGTCACTCCTATTCCATAGCCTCAAGCACAATCCATCGGAACAAATCTCGGTTTTGAAGAGAACCATGTGGCTCATGAGTTGATGAACTCATCAGTGTTGGAAAAAGTTGTTTGTCAACTCAGTATGTCATACTGTAAATTGACTAGTGTCAAACTACGTTGTGCAATGGTGCACAGTATAGTATTGTATTAGTTGATTTTTGTGATATTGTCTGATTACACATCAGAAGGACAAAAGTTGATGCTTCTTGATGGTTTCTGCAAAGCCATATGGATCACCCGCGGATCGAATTTCCATGTGGCAGGAGTGGGACGGTTAATTATTACCTTCTCTTAAAGTTAAATTTTGAAAGGCGTTGGAGTGTTAAAATTTGACCGCGAATGACCCAGCAAGGGAAAGGGTTGTGTTTCCTGAGCAGGCCCAAGAGGCACAACTTTTGTCCTGGTAGTGCGTCACGGGAGGGGTGTTGGGCGACAGGCTGCAGACAGATGATTCTTCATTTGTCAATGTGCAGAAATATGTGTTTGGACCTTCCCTTGGAAACCGTTGCGAGGACCAGACACTTGAAGAGGCAAGCAGACACGCGACGGACATTTTTTCTCAGCCAGAGGACACAGCGCCGGCTTTGCGGACCACTTCCCAACAAGTCTTCATATAGGCCCTGGCGATTCGCTTTGCGGTAGCCTGTGCGTGGGCTGGCCTTGTACGCCATCTTGCTCCGGGCATCCTTGAGGTCCATCTTCCGAAGCCGCTTCTTGAGGTTGCCCCAAAATCTTTTCGGGCTCAAATCTGGTGACTTGGGCGGGATCCCCCAAAGGCGTACGTCAGCCGCTGGTTGTCGCAGAGCAAATGCCAAGCATCGTCTTTCACAGGGTCCAGCGATTTCAGCGCAGATACAGTTCTCCCAGACTTCATGACATTAACCCATTCGCCCTTCGCCAGCTCGTTCTTCAAGTGAAACGTCACAGCGGCGAACCCACCTGTGCTGAGGCCACCCCCACAGCAGGACACATCAGTCAATCGGGCATTGCTTCGACAAACCATCCTGGACCGGCCAGGGAAACCTCAGGCGCCACATGTGCGTCTGCGAGTGTCACAAGTCAGTAAGGTCCTTGATACCATCCTTAGCACACAGCCGTCATCGAGAAAGACAGCTTTGCTCGCAGCCAAGGTTCTGCCTCAACTTCTTCAGCTTGCAGCAAGAAGTTCTTGAGTCTTCGGTGAGCTTCCAGGGACGGCGGCCACACTTCTTGTAGCCAGACTGCTTTCGTCCTTGCTGGTGGGAGAACATCAAGTTCGTCTTGATGGCCACTTCCCAGCTAGGCAAGCGGGAATGTCAACCCATGCACATCTCGTAGAACGACCACATGGCTGGTTAACGCCCACCTCATGTGAAACAGTGCGGGAAGTTTGATCCAGACTGCAGCAGAAGGCAGCAGAAGGCCTTCAAGACGCGGCGGACGGACAGCAGACAATGACAGATACAGAACTGTTGGGTCCCAACACGAAACCATGTTGCAACACTTTCCTGATGGAGACGCCAGAATCCCCTAGAGCGCAACCCCAGTGGCAGCGCCAAACACTTTTGACTCGGATGACACACGGCGTTAGCACGCGTCAGCTTCGTGCAAGCAGAGACTTCCACGACCTCTTGCTGAGCCAGCCATTGCTTTGCAAATGACCAAGGATATTTGTTGCAAAGTCAATGGCGACCACGGGTGGTATCTTAAAGAGTACTGGCGCAGAAACAAGTTCCCCCTCCGGGTGTCATACTTCTTAACCCTGAACCTTTTCTTGGTGCATGACTAGAAACTCTAAGTCACGCACATCGTCAAGAATCAAGGCATCCTGAAAACCATCGTGAAACCACGCCTGAACTCCACCATCTTGGAAGGAACCTTGCTCCTGCCAACCTTCAGCTCAATGTTGGTTCTGGAAGAGGCTCTTGGCGTATATACTCCGGCGTACGCCGTCTTGCCGAACGCAAACGCGCCGATCAAGATAAGCGACGAATACCGCAAGAGGTCGGAGTTGCGCTGTCACGGCGAGCATCACTGGGAAGGGCTTGTACAGCGAAGGGTTCCTTTGATTCGCTTCACAACCTGCCCGATCTCGGCTTGCTCGGCCGCGCCTCGCCCCAGGACTTGCAAGCGACGCCATCCTGGGCCACGAACAGGTAATCATAGTGCTTCCAAGAGGATTCGGCAATTTGCCTTGCACCCGGCACATGGCGATGCCAGCGACCTACAGCTAACGGCTACGCACTCCGACATAGAAGAATCCTCGACTGTGCTGTGCTGCGGACTATCGTGGGATCTTGCTGCTTTGTGAAAGCATAGGGCTTGTGGATCATAGTCTCGGTTGACGCTTGGTGCCACTTGCAACACGGCAGGGGCCTACGCGCGTTGGTATACTTGGAGGTCTGAAACTTTGAGGATGTAATGTGGAATGTGTAGGTTAGGGCACCGTCCAAACATGCAACGTCATGTAACGTTCAGGCCCGAGCTTGATTTGGCTGTAGATGGAGCATGCCATGGAGGGGCTCGTGCAGCTGGCCACCTTGACGGGGCGGTCCACCGCTTTGGCGGCCGCATTGGTCAAATGCGGGTGGACGACGTCGAGGCTGGCCACGCTGCAGGGCATGGATGAGGAGGTTCTCCTCGCGGTGATGCGCCAGGTCAAGGAGCTCCATGTGGTGACGGCTCTCGAGCTGAAGGAGCTGATCATGGAGGCGGACAAGTCAGCGAAGCTGGCCTGGCGGTTGGAGGGCTCCAGGGGGAGCTCGGAGCTGATGGCGGTGTGGCTCAAGCAGAAGTCTCGGATGGGGCACGTGCAGTTGCACGACATGCTGGATCGGGAGAGGGCCAGGGTTGTGCCTCCCCCCGGGGCTGCAAAGCTGGCCAAGTGGCCCACAAGGTTGCATGGGGGCCGCTGGCGATGATCCTCGGGCCAGGGAATTGGCGGAGGAGTCTGAAAGGGCCCGGTGGCTGAAGGCCTTGGCTTGTGGGCTATTCAAGGCGGGCGCTCCGGTGGCGTTGGACTTCGGGAATTCGGAGGAGCTGGCCAAGTCCAAGAGGATAGGCAAGGGGCGCCGTGCCTCGACTTTGAGGAAGCACGCCAGGACTTGGGAGCGCTACATGGTATGGCTTCATGGAGCTTACGGTTTGATGTGGCCTGTGCAGCCTTCTCACTTCGTGGGCTACCTGGAGGTGCGAGCAGCAGAGCCTTGCGGGAAATCAGTACCAGGTAGCCTCCTCAAGACCCTAAAGGATCTCCAAGCACCCGGCCTTAGTGAATTGCATGGAGGAGCTGGTCCTCTACTTGGACAGAAGGGTGATGACAGGGCGCAAGCAAGCTCTTCAAGCTCTGGGGCGGCATGAGGCTCAATGACACCCAGGGGATCGAGGTGTCGAGCATGAAGCTCACGGCCAAGGGCCTGGTGGCAGACATCACGCAGAGCAAGACCACTGGTCCGGGCAAGGCCGTCGCAAGGATCAGTGTGTGTGTGGCGAGAGGTGCCTGGTTGGTGGAGAAGCATTGGTTGCAGTCGGGGTTCTCTCTATGGTTGGAGATGGCGGAGAAGGCCGGCCTGGAAGAGCGTGACTACTTCTTGGCGTTGCCGACGAAGGACTTGGGGGGCATCGTGAACAGGGTGGCGCGCTACACCGAGGCAGTCGGCATGACGCAGGCCATCTGCTCCGAGCTGGGGGATCTCAAGGGCGAGAAACTCTTGCACGAGGGAGCAGGTGCATTATGGACCGAGCATAGCGAGAGGGCCACGGCTAGATCGTGGGCGGCGGTGGCTGGCATCGACGCGGAGGTCAAGAAGAAGCTCGGTCGGTGGAAGGCATCAGTTGACGAGGACTATGAGCGCACCACTCGGACCCAGGTGGAGCAGGCGCAGCGCAAGATGGCGGCCTTTGTCAAGGTGAACAAGGGCCGCGTCCATCCTGCAGAAGATCGAGAACAGGATGGGCGATGAGGGGGTGGATCTCGACCGGAGGGCCAGCATCCTGGAGAGGCTGAGGTCGTTCAAGCCGCATGTGGAGTCGGACGCGGAGTCTTCAAGCAAGCGGGCCAAGTTGGCGGATGACATGGTCAGCGTGGTGATCGATGGTTCTGACGAGGCCACTAGTTGGGTGGACTCCAGCGGCGGCGAGAAGGCCTACCCCCCTCGGGTCGCCCGAGAAGGCCGAGCCTACGGATGAAGAAGAGGTGGTTGAGCGGGGAAAGAAAACGGCCTGCTACTACGTGAGCATCGTCGGGCGGTCCAAGGCGAGGACCCTGCATAGGCTGGGCGAGTGTCACCGCGTTCCAGGAGTGCACTATTGCACTTTCGATGCGTTCGGAGAGGATTTGCCTCCCCCGAGCGAGTATCATAGGGCATGCAAGATCTGCTTCCCGGGCTAGTTGTGCAGGATCAAAGCTCGGGAAGCGAGGCAGATTCCAGTAGCTCCTCGGACGTCGTTTCCGAGGAGGCTGTCTTGTAACTCAGTCTCTGGAGACAAGTCTGTTCCCAGAGAAAAGATGGGTGTTGTGCGATCTCGTTGGCCGAGAGCTTGCGAGGATTTGAGTAAAGGGCACAGGCTCGGCCAAGGAAACATGGTGGCAAGATTGCCAGCATGAGATAAGTCCGGGTTAAGGTCCCCCCCCCTTTCGTTTGTGGGACCCTGTGCGTGTTGGCTCCTGTGTTGCAATGTTTGGCTTTTAAGGTTCTGCGAGAAGTGGAAGCCAAACCCTGGCAACAGGTCAGACGGTTGGCGCTAGATCCTTGGATCCTGCCCGCGTGCCGGGGGACATTGTGAAGGTGGCGGCAATGGTGGACACCTGGGAGTCTTGCCGGTCTCGAACGGAGGCCAGGCACAAGGCAGATGCGGAGGCGCTGCTCAACCAGATCCCACGGGCAGCGCCCAAAACCGAGGTGCAGGACCTGAGGGCCAAGTTTGAGCAAAGCCTGTATGCTATCGACGACCGGCAGATGCCCTCGGTCAGCACCTTGGAGCTTCAGTTTGACCAGATCGAATCGGGCGAGTACAAGGTCCTCTCCCTCTCCCAGTACTTGTGCAAGGATGACGCGGAACAGGAGCTCATGGGCGCCACCATCGACAGAGCGACGGGGGCCACCAAGATCAAGCGGAGCTCTGGAGATCGCAAAGCCCAAGAACTCGGAGGAGAATCCTCGGAGCGCACCACCATGCCCAGGTCTTCTGGGTGCTCCACCAGTGCCAGCATGGGGCTGGAGCAGTCCACAATGGCGTGCAGCATCCGGCAGGTGAAGCGCACGAGCTCGTTGCCAATCTGCACCTCTTGAGATCTGCGGCTCGAAAGCCACGGATAGCCCCAAAAATGTTGTGCGTCTCGCACAGGAGGAGGCCCGTTCTTGTTTGCACCCCGCACCCGCGAGAATGTGCTGCACGGCGGGGTGCAGATGGCAACGTGCCACTTGCGGGATCTGATCCCCTCCAAGAGGCTCTTCTGCAAACTGGCGTTGGTGAGGTCATGAGACTCACAGCGCTCGATGTCGACCTCCTCGGCGTGGAAGCTGATGCCCTTGCGGGCGCACATGCCCTTGAGCTGTTCCACCAGCGAGGACTTCCTGGCTGCACCTGCAAACAAGTACAGCAGCTTCAACTCTGGCCCATGAGCCTGCTTTGTGCCCTGCTCTGCTGCAACCTCCCGGGGCACGACGAGAGGCTGCCCCCTTCATGCTGACTTGTCTTGTGCCGGTTCCTCTCCGGCCGTATCCTTGGCTTTCTTGCAGGCGTGAGCCGGATGGCTTCCGAAGCAAATCTGGCAGGCGTGAACTCGACCACAGTCAAAGCGGCACCTGGATCCTTGATTGTTCCACTTGAAACAGATCTCGCGGCCGTCCGGGGTCTTGTCGTGGAGGCCCCGCTTGCCTTTGCTCTTCAGGGCCTCATAGGCGCATGGCGTCAAGAAGTAACGTTCCTTGATGGAGGTGTCCACCATGGCCGCCTCCAGAGCCTGAATCAGAGGAGTTCCGCTGTTGAGCTTCTTGACCATTTCCTTCCGCATGTTGAACTCGTAGCTTAGCAGCAAGCGGAAGGTTGGTTGCGCCACCACCACGCCCTCTGAGTCCTTTGCCTTGAGATTGTAGACGTGCTCGCCAAGCAGCAGATCTGCATAGCGTTGAAAATGCACCGGGGTCGCACCTTGCAGCACCTTCTGATGAGGATAGCGAATCTGGCACAAGATGAATGTGTGCGCGACCAGACGCAGCCGGGTCCGCTAGCATATGGCAGTTGCGCCAGCTGCGATCCCTGGCTGGTCACGGCAACCCCCCGTTCTTCACGGTGGTCTTCAACCAATGCAGCTTCGGTGCACCATATCGCAAGCCGACTAGGTTGCTCACCAACCTTCCAGCACTGGGGGCCCAAGGGATGGCCCAGTATGGACGTGCAGGGCTTCTATGAGGGCCCACTTTCGCAACACTGCAGCTGCAAATCCCACGTGCAGCTGGTGAAGAAGCCCCTGGACGCAGCCTTCAAGACCACCGGCACGGCTTGCTACCCTGAGAAAATCCCTGACCTATGATGTGGCACACGCGCACAGATTGGTTCCCATTGTCAAGCGTGACTGGGGACTGCAAGCTTTTCGGCTGGATGGCTCCACCGACATCTATGTGCACACCAGGGGCACCTTCGGCATTGCGTCGGCGGCCTACTGGTGGCAGAGGCTGGCCGCCTCTGTGGTGAGGCTGACACACCGGCTGGCGACCATGGAGCTTAGCCTCTATCACCTCCTCTACGCGGACGACTGCTCTTCTGGATCTGGTGCCTTGAGTTGATGGAGTTGCCACTGACGTGGAAGAAGGTTAAAGGAGGCGTGGTGTTCCAGTGGATCGGTTGCGAGCTGGACGTCAAGAACTTTGTGAAGGGCATCAGCCTCAAGAAGCAGGATTGGATAGTGGCCTGGGTGGAGAAGCGCCAAGCTGAGAGGAGGTGTGGTTGGAAGGGACCTGAAGTCCGCCTTGGGCGCTTGACCTTTGTGGCAGGGGCCCTGTCGCACGTGCGCCCATTCCTGGGCGTCCTCTTTGCTTGGGCGGCGGTGTTGGCTATGGGGACCTTCGCCTCTCTGCCATCTGCGGTGGCCTTGGTTCTGCAGCTGATCAAGATGGAAGTGCAAAGGCGGAGATTGAGGCCGGTCTCTCATGTCCCGGTGGCACGAGTCGACTTCTTCCGCATTGACGCCAAGGCCGAGGGGCAGGAGATCGTGCTGGGGGGCTGGGAGTCGTGGAAGGGGCCCACTTCGACTGCCAGATGGTTCTCGGTCCGCCTCAGGACTGAGAGAGGCCGGCGTGCATGGAGTGCTATCGGGCTTCACAGATAGCGCGGTGTCGATGTACGTCCTGGACAAGTACATGAGCTGCTCTTTCCAGCTGTCCGTGCAATTGGAAAAGCTGGAGGTCGACATGATGCTGCGCTGGATTCCCCGTGAGCAGAACACCGAAGCGGACGCCTTGACGAACTCTGTCTTTGACGGGTTCGATCCGGACAGGCGCATTAATGTTCAGTTCGAGCACCTCAAGTTCGAGGTTCTCGATCAGCTCATGGTGGAGGCCCAGAAGATGGACAGCGAGATCCGCCTGGTGAAGAGCTTCAAGGAGCGTAAGTTGGTTGCTTGGTCCGAGAAGAAGGCGGAGGACTAGGTGAAGAAGAGGAGGAAAGGTGGCGAGACCCCTGGTGATGTAGGCACGACAAAAAAGAATGGGTCCCCCTCTCGTTGGGCATTTGAATCCCGTTCGGGTCATACACGGGTGGACCCCCCATTCGTACTCCCCCTTAGAATCTACCTTCCGGATTGGATGCCTTTGGGATAGGCACTGGCGCAATCCACGAAAAGTGAGCGACTTGTAGAACGCTGCTTGCAGTGTTGATGGGGGAGTGGAGTGATATTATATATTTTTTTATTGTTTTATTTTTTTATAATTTATTTATTGTTTTTTATATTTTATTATTTTTTATATATTTATAAGAATAGATTTTTTTTTGTATTATTAATAATATTAATTTTATGGACGAAGGAATGAATGAAGGGAATGAAAGAATATGTGTGTGTGTTTTATGTTATTTGGTTTATCGGTTTTTTTTGAATTAATAAAAGGAAAAGGAAAGAAAACAATATTATTTATAAACCTCCTAAGAATTCGAGGTAGGAAAGGAAATTATTAAAAATAGGAAACATAAATAATATAATGAACAACAATGAAATATAGGTATTTATAGTTTGAATTTATTTGAATTTTAATAAAATTTTAAAATATATAATTAAAATAATATTAATATATTTGAATTTGAAATGAAATATAAAGCCATTAGATAATTTTAAAATACAAAAATTTAATAAAATAATGAAATTGAATTTTTGCAAATTGTATTTTCGTTTTGGGGGATTGGGTAAAATTATTTTAAAATAATTCGTAATGTTACAAAGGTTTTATGAAGTAGTTTTGATATTAGAGAATTCTCGAGTAAATTCTCGAGATGTTTTTTTGCATTTTGCCGGTTATAGACTTTAATTTATGCCAGAATTCTTCGGATTTTTTAGGATTTGTTTTGGGGGCTTATCGGCATAACACTGCGGAATTCTATCCTTGTAGTGTGTGTTTTTGTTTTTTGCAATTGTTAGGATGGGTAATTTCGAACAATTGTCTCTGTTTATGTCCCTCTCCTTACATATACTCCTGAGGTGTTAAAATTACGAAATACATAGATATGGATATATAGAAACAGAGAGCGGCAAATCTTAAACACGCGGCACGAAATTTTCGAGAAATTTCGGTTTCGAGGCCGTACCGGTTTACATATATATTGTTTTTATATTCTAAAACAAAAAATCTATAAATTTAAAAACAATAAATATATATATATATTTCAAAAATACAATTAATAAAATATAATAAATAATATATCAATTATATACATATTAAATTAATTTATATAAATTAAGTTCATTCTAATATTCCTAGAATATTTATTATTCTAAATATTAAAATCAAATTAACTAATTTAATATATAATAATAATAAATATATAAATCAATTGAACCATAATAAATATATATAAGAGTTTTGTGTTTTAAACATATATTTCCTTCAAAAATAAAAAAAACCAAAATATATTAATTTCCTCATAAAATAATAAAACAATATAAATAATAAGTATTCAAAATATATTTCTATATTTAA